AAATAAGGTAAAGTGGACATTCGCGCGCGCAAGACGAAATCCTTCCAAAAGCTTAGTGTTCGGAGCGATTTTAACATAAAAACATCAAAAAACCAATGGTTTTTCAACAAAAAAATGTCAAAATCTCATCCCGCGCGCTCTTGCGGATTCGTAGGAAACCCAACACTTTTTAAACATTTCTGTCAAACGGGCTTTTGCGAGCAACTTTTTCGAACTTCTGCGACAACGGTTGCGCACCTGCCAGGGCCATCATCCCTGTCAAATAATACCATGCGGGACACATTCGTTTTTTCTTCGCGCGCGCACGCCGAAATCTCCAAAAACCATTGGGTTCTTAAGAATTTTAGCACCGCGCATCATAAAATCACACGAATCGCACCGTAGGTCCTCGAAAAACACCTGCACGACTTTTCAAAATTTCCACCCGCGCGCGCTGTCCGAATCCTAAAAAAACCAATGGTTTTCCAACATTTATGTTACATGAGCTCGCGCGAGCTACTTTCGCACGCTCTTGCAACGGGGTTCGCGCGCCTGCCAGGGGCCATAATCCCTTGCGGTTGCGCCATAGGTTGCGCCCTCGGCCGCCGAGAATAAAACGCCCCCCTATTGGTTGCGCCATAGGTTGCGCCCTCGGCCGCCGAGAATAAAACGTCCCCCTACTGGTTGCGCCATAGGTTGCCCCAGGAGGCCTTCAAGAGGCCCCAAGAGCCCGCCGTGAGGACCCAATAAGCCCCCAAGAGGCCCCAAGATGCTTCCAAGAAACCCCCCAAAGCCCCTCAAGAGGACCCCAAGCGGCGCCAGGAGGCTTCCCCCCTTCCCCAAGAGGACCCCAAGCGGCCCCAGGAAGCCTCCGACTGATCACTGTCACATCCGTAGCCATCTCGGATCAAGGTATCGCCTGTGTTCTTGGATGGGTCATGGCTTTGTCGGCGAAAGCCCTTGACGACCAGTATGGCCCAGAGCTGTCGCGGCCTCCCTTGGCCGACTGCGAGAGCCCGTATTATTTGCATCAGGCGCTCGTTGCAAAGGGTATCCAGGTCAGTCACCAGGCGTGCAAGACTTGGTGGGGCAAATATCGGGTTGTGCCTGGCAAGGTTAGTATTTCTAGCGCCCAGGAGCTGGAGGAGCAGCACGGTTCTGCCATCCGCCACCTGGGCATCGAGTATAATACACCTTTCAAATTATGCGGGGCGCTCCGACAGTTGGATCCACCACTGTATGTGACAGATCAGGTCGCAAAGATGTGGCTACTGCAGTATTCTTCCAAAGAGACGCTTGTCAAAGTGCAGAACGCTGGCCATCTGGAGACCTGGTATGGAGAACGTATTCGCAAAGACATGCCCGAGGGGACTACTGACGGGGCCGTGTTGAAGCAGTGGCTCCTGGGACATTTATCTGTATCTGCTGACGCCAGGGTATGCCAGAAGTGGCTCAGCACGGAGTGGGGCGCCAAGGGAGCATTGAATACTGCCCAAGCTGTGGAGGAATGTATAGGCCAGCGTCTTCGACTCAATCAGTATCGGGAGAGCTTCGCCGATGAGGCCGCCGCGGAGGTCCTCTCGCAGCTTCTCTCGGAGAGCGACCCTCCCGTCGCTGTCAGCGGTATGGTTTTGAGGCAATGGTACGTGAAGTATCACCCTGACTCTGGACCTTTGCAGTATGACACGGCTGAAAAGCTCGACGCGGCACTTGGTGACCACATGCGCGCGGTATATCCAGGGCTGAAGTACCACACCTTGCATGCCGTGTTGCGTATGCGACGGAAAGCTGTCTTGGTGTCCCGAGGAGTGTTGAGACAGTGGTGCGATGCGTATGCGTCGGTGAGCTCTTCAGTGCAGGCGACGGCTTCATCCGCCCAGGCCGTCACCAGGCGTGTATTGAAGCGCCCGGCGGCGCAGGTCGCAGGCGGGGTATTGAAACGGCCAGCCGCCGCCGGATCTGCCCGCGTGGCCAAACGGCCTGCCGCGGTCGACTGGGAGGAGCCCGTATCGAAGCAGCAGGCCACGGCAGCTTCTTCCTCCACAGAAGTGGTTTGTATAAAGCTGCTGACGGGGGATGCTGTAGAGGCGGCATGCGGCAAGCGGTATCGAGAGCAGGTCTCCGACTTGGGCCTTGGCCTCACTTACCAGAATATGCAGGTGCGTCTGAAGGCCTGGGGGTATGAGGCGGGTCCATATGCCTTGCGAGAGTGGCTTTGCAAGTATCGATTCGGAGACGGTGCCAAACATGGCAATGGCGCCGTCTACGCGTTGTCGCGCAGGGACCTCCAGTACTGGTATCACGTAGAAGGCTTGAGGGGGCGAGCGCTGGTGGACAAGTATCGCGCGGACACCGGGGTATTTGCACATTGGGTCGCCCTGGAGAGGTGGCTGAAGGCGCCCTCCCAGCAGCTGGCAATACTGGAGAATGCTGAGGAGATACACAGCCACGTATGCGGGGAGTATGTCCTGGAGCAGCTGCAGAAGGGTGTCTCGGCCGAGGAGGTGAAAAAGGAGTTATT